CCCCCGGCCGAGTTGCGGCTGTAACGCCGGAACGAGTCGGCGACGACGTTGCCGTCTAGCGAGTAGTTCTTGAACGAGTCGACGCCTCCGGCACGGGATGTGCCGTAGTTGGTGAAGTTTTTCTGGTCGTAGACGGAGAAACTGACGTCGTCAGTGTGCTTCTCGAGGCTCGGACCCAAATCCGGGAAGCAGAAGAGATTTGCGGCGGAGCAGAACTCCGGGAGACGAGTCGAGAGCGAGTCCACGGCAGCGAGTTTGGCGAAACTCGCCGACTCGACGGCAGTGAGAGGCGACGCCTTGGAGAGTAGAAACTCCGATCGATGCGATTCGCGTCTGATTTCTTTGTTCCAGTAACGAACCAGAGACGCTTTCGGGGTGAAAGGGTTCTCCTCCGCCGCAAAACCGCCGCCGATCAACCGCCCTCCGGCGAGATTCACCTGCATTGCCCCAAAAATGCATAGAATCAACAGGATAAAAGTCCCTAATTTCAGAAAACCATAAATTCTTCGAGAAAAGTAGATCCGATCTGCTCTAAACAAAATCGATTCGGGGAAAATAGAACAACCGAATGAAATTTCGCATAACGATTACATTTGCGCGAAGTTTATCAATTCGAAGTTCGCTTACATTGAGGAACCCCAAAAAGATGGGTAGGAGGAGAACCGACTGTTCGAGCATTTGTCTCCTAGAGAGAGAAAGTTAGAAATTGAAGAAGAGGGAAGGGGAGAGAGAACGTCCGTGGGGGTTGGTGAATGTAGTTGTATTTATATACGGGAAAATTAATATTAATAGATAAATTCGAGTATCTTCAAAATTAATTAGCGTATATATATATATATATATAAATTGGATGAAATAGGAAAAGGATGATGAAACAAAAAGACGCAAGAAAAAGAGGAGGGAAAAGGGAACAACAAAAAGAGTGTGTCAGAAAAAACTGGATTCGAAAGAAGGATTTCTAACGGTTATTTAATCGATTTTATAAAAGTTGTATCAAATCAAAATCGAATTAATTGATTCTGGTTTGGTGTCTTTTTTATTCAAAAGGTTTCATTATACAATTACAAGATATAAAAAATAATCGGAAATTGATATTTACGCATAAACTTGCATATAACGGTGAATAATTCAGATTTCACTTTGATATTTTATCGGTTTCGATTCGGTGTTTGGAACCGATTGATTCGTTTCAATAAAAATTATATCATCGATCCAATTCGATTTCCATTCAAACCACAACCAAATTTTCGAACCGAACTATCCACCTCAAAGACATTCAACTGTCCAGGCGCCCCGTAGGGGTATAAAATGGGCGGGGCGGGCCGGGTTCGGGCCGGGTTCAATTCGGGCCTAGAATTTTTCGGGTCGGATCGGCCCGTCCATTTATTTTTCGGGTCTAGAATTGATGGCCCGGAGCCCGACCCTACAGGGTTTCGGACGGGTTCGGGCCGGACTTCGGGCTTTTTCTTAAATAAAAATATTTTTTTTTACGATAATAATAATAATAATAATAATAATAATAATAATAATAATAATAATAAGAAACATTCAACAAAAATATTTTTAAAACCGATAACAACAAAGTCATTTAGTTTACAAATAAAAATAAAATTAAAATAATTATCCAATTGTTCAATTCTCCAACACCACAACATGCGATTAAAAACTTTGAAACGTGATAAAAAAAATAACAAACATAATATAAAAAGAAATTCTATCATGTAATTAATTTAAAAC